CTCCCAATTACACTGATCTGTTGTTCAACAAATTTGTTCACCTGGATGGAGAGCTGTCCGATACATTTTATACTCTGTGGGTAGCGCTGGTGGTGGTCAATGCCATCATTTTCCTGGTGGGTGTGGTGTTGAACTCTTTGGCGCTCTACGTCTTCTGCTTCCGCACCAAGATAAAGACCACCTCGGTCATCTACACAATCAACCTGATCATCACTGACTTGCTGGTGGGCTTCTCCTTGCCCATCCGGATCATCATGCACTATAGTGCCAGGGACTGTAAGAACTGTGCCCTCATCCATATCTTTACCTACTTTGTCAACATGTACTGCAGCATCCTCTTCCTTACATGCATCTGCATTGACCGGTACCTGGCTATTGTCCAAGTGGAAGCTTCACGGCGGTGGAGGAACCCCAACTCTGCCAAGAGCATCTGCGCATTCATCTGGGTCTTTGCCACGGTGGTCACCTTCTCCATCCTTGTCATGGCCATGAAGTTTTCCTACTGCTGCATTGCCCAGATCCTGCCGCTGATGGTATGTGAGTACTTCTTCCCACTCATTATCATCACCTTCTTCACCACTAGGATCATGTGTGCCCTCTCTAAGCCAACCCTCATGCACCAGAGTCGGGAGAGACGGATGAGGGCCGTGCAACTCCTCATCACAGTGCTCATCATCTTCATGATCTGCTTCACTCCTTTCCATGTGCGCCAACTGGCTATCTCCATCAACCCCGACATGCCCTACAACGTCAGCTTGATTGTCTACCACGTGACCGTCACCTTAAGCAGCCTCAACAGTTGCATGGACCCAATTGTCTACTGCTTTGTCACCAATAACTTCCAGTCCACCATGAAAAACATCTTCAGGAAGTCAGAGCCTGAACAAACCAGTGGAGACATAATCAGCATCAACAAGAACTCAGGTTCAAATGCCATTATAGCCTTCACAACGGCATTAGGGAACCCATTGGTCCTGCCTCCCGCTAACAATACAGCAAGCTCCTAGGAGAAGGAAGATCCCAGCGTACGTTGCATATAAATGTACACTGTTGTTAAGCTATGTGCTACTATCCTCTTTTCTAAGAGTATTTTAGAACATTGTGTCAGTCTTCAGAGCTCTTTGGGTTCCTCCATGACACCATCCATATATACATATATATATATGGCAACTGGATTTGTCATCTGGGAAATTGTGTCATGAAGTTTTCTCTCATGAGCAAATTCCAGGATTGTGTCTCAGGATGCATTCTGAATCTCCAGGAATGATAGAGGAACAAATAGACACGGCAACATCCTTTGACAGTTCTTCTCCATGATCTCTTGAAGGACAGGAACCAAAGAAGGAGCTTGTTCAGATACTGATGCTACTACAGACTGCTCAGATCTTCAAATGCCTACACTACAGACTATTACAAGCAGGGCAGAAGGAAATGGAACAGAAACCTGTGTTATCCATGGCAAATAATACAGGAGAATAATAACTGTGGGGCATTGGGGGTGATGATTTTGGAAGACATCATGCCTAACCCAAATAAAATGCCAAACTCATGAGAGTAATAACAGAATGCAAATCATAATTGGCTTCACTTTAAAAATACTGTGATAGAAATTGATTTCTCAAGAATGCTATGGTTTGTTACACAGACTAAACCAGAACAACCTGGGGCAAGCAATATTTTACATGCAGTCAAAAGCCAGCAAAACTCCACTGCCCCAGTTGTACAGTATAATGCTACAACAGCTGTGGGAAAAGGTATTTTCAAGTGATGTGGGTTGGGATTTCCTCCTCACCTCATTTTTTCGTGGAGAATTCATGGTTTCATGGGGAGGGGGGGGCAAAAATCAGCGGAAGAAAGAGGAAATTGCAGCAGAGAAATAGAAATCAGGGAGTATGAAGTATGCGCACACTGCTTCACAACTGAAAATAGAGAGGGAGAGACAGAGAGTTTATTTTTCAGCAGAGAATCAAGCCATTGTGGTTTTTCTGGCCTGGGATTGTGTGTCCGGAATACTTTGGCCATCAGCTCACACTGTTGATTCCTTTGGATAACATAAATATTTTCTTTCCCTTTAACAGAGGTCTTCCATTACTAACAGAAACCTAACATTTGTGGTTTCTTTGCATTGTATCCAGTGGTGTAGTGGAACTAGAGCTCACAAGACTTGTTGATTAACAGGGACTAGGGTCTAATCTGCACTGCAAAAATCATGCAGTTTGACCCCACTTTAATGGCCATGGCTCAATGCCATGGAATCCTGGGATTTGTAGCTATTGTGGCACCAGAGCTCTCTGATAGAGAGGACTAAATAGCTCACAAAACCACAAATCCCAGAATTCCATCACATTGAGCCATGGCAGTGTTAAAGCAGTGTCAAAATGCATTATTTCTGCAGTGCAGATGCAGGCTATGACATCAACCTTTCCCTTACATTCCCCTCTCCCACCTTCCCATTATACCTGTCTGCAAGGGCAGTGGGACCGAGAAATATCTGCCCAAAGATCTTAGCACTCAATCTCATATGGGAAGATATGGCTTGGGCAAGGTCATATGGGAAGTTGCAAAAAAAAAAAAAAACACCCAATACTTGGAAGGGAAATTTATTTTTTATTTTTTTTAGCAATAACATACTGTTATCGACCATCTTTGTTTTAATCCAAAGTATTTTGGGGGAGCTTGGTTTTGAATAGGCAAGACTCATTGGCTTTACAAAAGACCTGCTCCCAATGGTGACAAAAATTACTAGAATTTGTTGGTTTATTTTTTAATTGACAGAACTGCATGCATTTTTGGACTCTCCATGGGGGATGCCACTAAAGGGGCTGTCATGAGGAGGCCATGTATGATGCCATTCTCAATGTGTGGTTGTGAAGAACACGGCCTGGCTGTCACAATGGGCAATGCTGATTGTTTCTAGACAAACAAGGGTGACTGTATCTCAAAAAACATCTTTTAACGGGGAGAAAATGAGCCTGATAGTTTCTCACCATCACACTCAGAGCATCATTTTGAAAGGAAATCGGACTCTTCATTTCCATCCATACAAAAGGGGTTTGCAGGTGCAAGAGGTAAGACAGAAGTTCAACCTAATCAAGAGTATATTAGTATATATAGGCCAGAGTCCACAATACTGGTGCACTATGCTAGCAATTGTGTATGTTGTTCAGGGTCACAACATGAATAAATGTTCAGCATGGATGTGCTTTGTGAATAAAATAAGTGTGTTTGGTGGGGGAATACTCACACTGCAGAAAGCCAGCGTAGTGTAATGGTTTGAGCATTGGACTAGGACTCTAGAGACCAGGGTTCGAATTCTGGCTTGGCCATGGAAACCCACTGGGTGACCTTGGGCAAGTCACATTTTCTCAGCCTCAGGGGAAGGCAATGGCAAACCCCCTCTGAAGAAACTTGCCAAGGAAACTCCATGACTGCCTTAGGGTCTCCGTAAGTCAGAAACAACTTGGAGGCACACACCAACACCAACTCCAAATTCACACAACACAGTTATGGCACTGCCAATAATTGGAGATTACACAATCATTTAACTGCCATGGTTGGCCATAGCCTCCAACATTTCACAGATGAAAACTGTGTGGTCAAGAGGGCAAAAAGTCATGATCAAAATAGTACTAAATGGTTTTGATTCTGTTGACAGCTTTATTACTGTTTTGGCCATAACCTTTTGCCATTTTGCCCCCATTTATTTAAAAAACACTCATTTAAAAAGAGAGAATAACACAGTTCAGTGTACTTTAAAAAAAGCCTTTTCCCACAAAACATTTGGTTCCACAATGCCTGCAGGAAAGTCTTATTACATACATTCCAACTGTACCAATTTGGTAGGGAGAGTAACAGTTACTTCTTTGTTATCCCACTTTTTAGCTCCTTTTAAATGTCCCAGTTTCTCTCTCCTCCTGTTGTCCTCAGCTTACTTCAGTTGCTTCAAACTGAGATCAAAGTGCAAAAATGGTTTGCTCTCCGTTAACCCGGGGTATGTCTTTGTTGTTGTGTGCCTTCAAGTCATTTCCAACTTAGGGCATCCTTCAGGCGAACCTATCATGGGGTTTTCTTGGCAGTTTTTTTCAGAGAGGGTTTGCCATTGCCATCCTCGGAGGCTGAGAGAGTATGACTTCCCTAGGGTCGCCCAGTGAGCCCAGCTGTGATTCGAACCCTGATCTCCAGAGTCATAGTCCAACGCTCAAACCACTACACCACATTGGCTCTTGGGGCATGTCTACATGGGCCAGTTACACTGGTTTCCCTCCATTCTCACCAGCCCCAATTTGGGGATTCCATTCCAGATGGGATTTGGGATTAGAGTTCTTGAATGATGAGGATACACAGAAGAGGATCATAGGGCGAATGAGGTCCATAAAGGACATCTAGTTCAATCAGACAATCCAGAACTAGGAAATTCCCAACATTTGGCTCTCTAGCCAGTACCGTGAAGACGTCCAGCTTTGGAAAGCCCACCACCCTTTCAGTAATTGGATTTATTATCCAACTATTCTTACCCTCAAGAATTTTCTTCTAACGTTCAACCATATTCTTTCCCGTTACCTCATTCCATTAAACTCAGTCTTGCCCTCTCAGCAGCTCATTTGTGTGAAATTACTCTTACGTTGTGGTGCTATATAGGGATTTTCTCCTTATTCTTGGGAGAAAATCCACAAAATCAGCAAGAGTACCCAAAAGGCACCAGATCCCAGCTGATCTTGGAAGCTAAGCAGGGTCAGCCCTGGTTAATACTTGAATGGGAGGCCACCAATGAATAGCGGGTTCTGTAGGGTATATTACAGAGGAAGGAACTGATAAAGCTGCCTCGGAGTATTCCTTGTCTAAGAAAGCCCTACGAAATCCATGGAGTCACCATAAGTCGATAGGCAGCTTGAAGGCGCATGATGCACACACAGACACACGCAATGCTACACAAGTCCGAGCCGCATTTTCCAAACCGAGAGAAAAATGTTAGGGAAGAAAGAAGGGGGGGAAGTTCATTTTGGCTTGGGTTTTCTCTCCCTGGGACCCTCCAGCGTGCTGCACTGCACAGTCTGACCAAAATGCAAACAAAAATTGGAAGCCCACCTGGCCAGAAAGTTGTATGCTAAACACTGCCAAAGGGAGTCTTGCAATCTGTTTAAAAGGCGAGTTGCCTCTCCTGGAAGCTTCTGAGATAGGCAAGTCACCCTCTTTTTTTAATGGGAGACTGGGAGCCTCAATGAAAAAAGATCCTTGGGACCACATGGGTGTCATTTCACCCATCCCTCTGTTAGAGCCATTTGCATCTTTCTCTTGGCCATCGTTTTTTCAGTTCAGTTTCCCTATTGCATACTTACTCTTATAACCAGGGGTAGCATTAAGGGCATGCGGGGGGTGAAGGCTGTAGCAGGTGATGCCCTAAAACAGGGGTCTTCAAACATTTTGAGCCAGGGGCCGGTTCGCCGTCCCTCAGACCATTGGAGGGCCAGAGTAAAAAACAAAAAACAAAAAAACATGACCTTCAGCAAGTCACACCCTCTCAGCCTCAGAGGATAACCATGGCAACTCTCCTCTGAAGAAACTTGCCAAGAAAACCCGCATGATAGGGGTCGCCATAAGTTAGAAATGACTCCAAGGCACTGGATTACCCTGGGCAGGTCACACTCTCTCAGCCTCAGATGGGAATGGAAACCCTCCTCTGGAGAAACATGCCATGCAAACCCCCATGATAGGGTTCCTCTTACGAGGAAGCCATGCCCATTCTCAAGGTCTCAACCAAGTGGAGCAGACCTCCCTAAGTAGGTCATTGTTGATTGGCGGGTGGCTCTTTTTTCACTGACACTCTAGTCTACAGCAAAAAAAAAAAAAAAACACCCAGTGGGCCGCAGGCCGGATAAATGGCCTTGGTGGGCCGAGTCCGGCCCACGGGCCATAGTTTGAGGACCCCTGCCCTAAAAGGTGGGTAACACCACTGCCCCCCAAATGTCGGATGGGTTGTGGCATTCGCCTGCATCCCTTTAAAATGCTGAAGCTCAGCTGAAGAGATGGTACAAACAATAATAATAATAATAATAAATAAAATTTATTTATATCCCACCTCTCTACAACTCAATCGTGATACTCAGTGGGAGGGAAAAGAAGAGGGTTGTGTTTTTTTATTTTAAATTTTAAAATTTTAAACGCAGTAAGGAAATATATGCCAGGTTTTAGCCCAATTTTTTTAAAAAAAACATTCTTTTAATATTTTGTTTAAAAACCACCACATACTACCAAATTTTCACTGCAACCACATGAACCACATGCAAATTCATAAGTACGTGCACGTGATATTGTCATTTAAAGGTACCATTTTAATTTTCCTCATTGCTTATGTCACAACAATTGCCATGACATTCAGTGATGCACGGGAATTACGGTTTACAAGTAACACTGGCACAAAAAACACTACTAAGGATTTGGTATAGTGTGGTATGGGAGGAGGTCAATGGGAGGGTGACACCATGAGTTAGCAATAGCAATAGCATTTACATTTCTGTGCCCCTTCATACTGAACTAAGTAGTCTCTAAGCGGTTTACAATGTGTAGCTAATTGCCCCCAAGAAGTAGGGTACTCATTTTAGCAACCTACGGAAGGATGCAAGGCTGAGTGGACCCTGGAGCCCTACCTGGGATTGAACTCACAACCTTGTGGCTTCAATACTGGCTGCAGGACTGGCATTTAACCACTGCGCCATCAGGGCTCCTTATGTCCATTACCGCACTGGGTGACACCGACCCTAGTGATAGCACTGCTTGTAGCCCTGTCTCTAAATCCCTGCTTCAGTTTTGAGTTCTGCAGCTGAACTTGATTAATATTGCATTTGTGGGTTGGTAGAAAGGAGATGGCTCCATCTTCCCGAGAAACAATTTGTGTGAATATTCTGATGCCAGTGTTTCCCTTACATGTAGATGCTGAACTTTTCTGTTCCTCGCTAATTATTTTTTAAATTTTTCCTTCCCGATTAATTGTAATGTTCACTCTCAGTCCCTGCTGGATCAGTCCAGTGATTCCCAAACTCTGATCCTCCAGTTGTTTTGGACTTCAGATCCCAAAAACCTCAGCCGTCTTGGCCAGTGGTCTGGGATTAGAATCATAGAATCATAGAATCATAGAATCATAGAGTTGGAAGAGACCGCACGGGCCATTCAGTCCAACCCCCTGCCATGCAGGAAATCCAAATCAAAGCTTCAGATTATGGGAGCTGAAGTCCAAAATACATGGAAGGCCAGAGTTTGGGAATCACTGAATGCCAATGAATTAGAGAACACACAGTGAACAAGATAAGATCACAGTGCTGCATGTTAAATCTGATCTGGATGTGTCACAATATCACTGAATTCAACTTAAGGCAGTTAAGAGCAAGGGCAATGCTTATTCAATCACCAAATGAATAATAATAATAATCCCAGCCAATCCGGGATCATTCCAATAATACAGCGATGAAGGCATGCCTTCACTACACAGTGTGGTTAATCAGGTTGCATCCACACTGGAGAAATAATCTAGTTTGACACCACTTTAACTGACATAGCTCAATGCTATGGATTTCTGGGAACTGTAGTTTGTTGTGGCACCAAAGCTTTGCCACATTTTACATTTCCCAGAATTTCATAGCACTGAACCATGGTGCTTTGGTCTGGTGCTACAGCAAACTACAGTTCCCAGAATTCCATAGCGCTGAGCCATGGCAGTTAGAGTGGTGTCGAACTATTATTTCTGCAGCATGGATGCAACCTCAGATTGGTCTTCCTGATGATATTACTGACAGCTATAGAAGAAAACTAACAAGAGAAAGAGAGGCAATGTAAGTATTATAAACGCCTTGCATTTTTTGCAAGCACTATTAAAACCTGGATCAAACTTCCTTGAAAAGGGAGTCATTTCAGTTCAACCTTAGTGAACTATTTTTACTTAAAAACTGTGTCATGTTTTCCATCCTGTGTATTTGGTTCCAATGTGATTTGTGTGACAATCAATACGTTCATTGAAAAATTGGAATAAGTACAATAATAATGAATCGGCCAAAGAAAACAGAGTCTGAGTATAGTAGCCATAAACAAGAATGGTACAGATCTGGGGAGTCAAATATTCAAAGGAAACATTTCATTTGGCCAAGTCATACTATTGTTGTTTTGTTGTTTTGTTTCGTTTTAAATCGCCAAGAAATTCCAGTGCCTTTCTGAATGGAGACATTTTGGTTCAACCACATTTAACAAGACACTGGAGCAGTAGTGGTTTGTGGTTTCCACATCAGTGGGGCAATGGATCCCTTCCAGGTTTGAGCCCAAATTTTAAATGATGATGATGATGATGATGATGATGCATCAATGTACAACTGTGTGCAGAGTGCAATGCCACCATGTGCCAAATTCTGCTTCTGCAGACCTGAACAAATGCCAAAATATCCAACTGGTTCCATAGGGGAATCTATACCTGCATAGAAGAAATAGGCACCAACAGTATTCCAGGCATTTTTGTGGGCTATCCCTCTTGTAAGTTTTAATAATAATAAATAAATAAATAATAAAATATTTATTTATATCCTGCCCCTCTGCAGAGCAATCGGGGCGGCTTACAACATTACAATTTCCATACAGATATGGTAAACAGAACATAAAATCCCGAATCCCACCCATCCTTTTTTTAGAGTGGCTTGGTCCTAAATAGGCAACTAAGGCCCAATGTCTACACAAAAGACCTGCTCCTGGTGAGGAAATAAACTGTTGCAACTGGTTCATTGCATAGCTATACACCACCCTCTGCATTTTTGGACTCTTGAGGGCATGTCATGATACATACCTCAACATTTCCCACTTCTCCACTCTTCAAGCTACTAGGGTTCTGTCCACTAATTTTTCTTCTGATCCTAATTAAACCATCAAAAGGTATCACATCCTGATCTTGGGAGATATAGTCAGGGGATATATGCTTCATGGTGCACATCTACTGGTCCTAAGCTTCTAGTAGGATCTTGCCCCAAATCTTCAACTCCAAAGGTGTATTTTGTCAAAGACAAAGAGGTATGGATAAGTCAAACTCATGATAACTTTAGTATTGGATTCCCGAAGGGAAACTTCTCTTCGTCTTCTTCCATGTGCATGAAAATATCCAAGCTGCCAAGGACTGGGAAGTGGAGAAGGCTGCCTGTCTATCATCTGTCAGAGTGTTCAACAGAAGGAACACAGTGGTAAATATTTGCCAT